ACAAAATAAGCCATTGGTGGCAGTTGATATTTATCTGGTCTATCTTGTTTGTGTTGCATTGACTAAACAAGATAACATTTATTTACATTTTATTAATTTATTGAAACAACTGTTTGTTGCCATCAGTTCAATTATCATCTTTGTGTTCACAAACAAGAAAAAAAATAGTTAATTGATAAAGAATTTAAAAGTTTTTAGTGCCTCTGATTAGAGACCTCCCTCCTTTCTGATCACACCCAAAAAACCTCCAACCTCATAAGTTTGACAAGACCTAAAGCTGCTGTTTGTTCCCATTTTTTGGGGGTTTTACACTCGTCACTAAAGGGGAGACGACACTAACCATCATCCCGCACAGCTTTCTTCTCTTGGGAAGTATTTTGGTAATTGCTGGCAAGCCTGAAAACGAATCCTGAGCACCACTATTTAACACTTAAGTGATCCATATTCCCCCCCCTGGCACCGAAGCTGTTTGCTTTGGAGAAGATGTGTTATTTTGTGCTATATATACATATAATCGTGTAAGAATATGCTCTGTATTTTGCATATGTGGAATTATTCCGGCCTGTGCTGAATAATTGACTCTGTAAAATGCCCTTGATGGCCGTCCTGCCTTCTGGCTGTTGTTAAACGCACCATCTGTTTACAAAGTCAAACAAAAGTTTGTCTAATTTATCGGGCCGTAATACTCGGCGATGATTCTCGCCCAGAGACCGAGGCCTCCGACATTTGCTTTTCACATTACAAAACACCGAATACCATTTTCAGTCCATTGTCTCATCTTTATTTCTATTCATTTACACCTGCGATTGTCCTTCACATCAAATCTGCTTCATAAATTTCAAACCCAAATTATCCGGCTTAGAGAAAAAAAAGCAGGGAAATTAACACTCAATGGAATAATTTATAAATCCCTCCCAAATCCTTTCTCTTAACCCTTTATAGGGCACTTAATGAAACACTTTAAAATAAAAAAAATCAACCTTAGAGTGTTATTGGACAACATAATAAGACTTTATTACATTTGTGACATTTTCTTAAATTTTTTACTTTAACTAACGTGCGGAAATTCCCAAAAACAGTCACTTGTCCGATAAAGGGTTAAGCAGCTACAAACACATTTAAAAATACCAGGCATATCCCGGCACATCCGGCTTCCTTTCTCTGAAAAAAAAAGACGTTAGACTCTGTTTTTCTATATCTGATAAAGCTGATAAAGACACACGGGTCTCAACAATGGCGAGGCCTGACCGAGGTTGTGCTTGTCGGCTTCTTATCAATCATCAGATCGCATTTGAATTTCATAACCTCTCCGAGTACCGGGGCTCATAAATTAAGATCTAGGACCCCTGAGTGTCTTCTGTGGCAGGGCATGGTGAGAAGCACTTGTCTTTAAAGGCCACACCTGATTTGAGAGCTGTCTCACAGTGAAGGTCAGCAGCGGGGAGAGGGGGGGGGGGGGGGGGGGGGGGGGGGCGGACATGTCAGCTAAGTCTCTGTGCTGTGAATACTGTGAATACTTAGCCGCTCTGCTGGGAACATGTCGACTCACATGTCTGTAACGGACAAAAAGCTCACCGGTCAGCTCAGAAACGCAGAATCAAAGGCCAATGATGGACAGGTGCTGCAATATTCCCGTTCCAAATCAGAAAATCTAAGCAGGTGAATATCATGAATGAGTTGTTTCTTGCTCTGGGTTACATGTCATCATAGTTTCTACAGATATGAAGGATACAAATGTCTTTAAAGGGGACATATTAATGCAAAACCAAGTTTTTAATCATTTGATTGTGTACATTTGGGACCGCCTCAGTCTGAATCCAGGAGATAAATCAGGAGGTTTCAGGAGTGGGTAGTTTCTGACGTCATTAGCTCTAGCTCATTATAATATTCCAGCCTTTCACCTGCATGTTGCCCCCCCCCTCAGCTTACTCCCCTATCTGTGGCAGACGTTGTGGTAGCGGGAGCGTTAGCATGGTAGCGTTAGCATGGTAGCGTTAGCATGGTAGCGTTAGCATGGTAGCGTTACCTTGGTAGTGTTAGCATGGTAGTGTTAGCGTTAGCATTAGGACACCAGGGAACTAATTTAACTTGTTGAAATAGGGTATAATATGTTTCCTTTAAGTTAAAATCTGTAAGCGTTATGAAAAGAGGCTTTGCAGTTGTTGATGGGATGGAAGAATTAGAACAAAGTAGAAGCTATCATTTTGGTAAATATAGTTTATTTTTATTTTTTTAAAAGCTATGAAGCTGATACCAATGAACTCCTCCCCTAGTAATGTTGATCTGGTAGTTGTGTTAATTTAGTATTCTAGTGATTTTGTAAGATACTGTGTGAACTGTATTGTATGTAAAGTATCTATTTATCTATCTATCTATCTATCTATCTATCTATCTATCTATCTATCTAT